TTGGATAGGAGGTTTTAAAATGTTTTTCTTGCAAGAGATTTTTTTTTCTGAGAAGAAAAGGTTCAGTTTTCAAGTTAAGATGTTTCATTGGATCAGTATCCATACGGTAAGTGCTTCTGTTTAATTCACCATTTTAATCGAATTCCGGCTTTGACATTTTTCAATTACTAGGAATGCTGGGGGTGAATGCGAAATTAATTAAACGTTGAAGATGCTGAAGAGGAAGCCTCGTACCCGGAATGCCACGTGCAAGCGACTAATATTTAGATAACAGGCGGAAGTAGTGCCGTACAGGCCAGTTCAAAAGTAAGCAGAAGCCATCGGGAATGTTAAAACTTCTGAATTAACATCTTTCTTTCATAACATGATTAGTTTAATCAGTAAACGACAGTTGTTACTCTATCGGTACAATCTGATTTTGCCTCCGGACACTGCGTTTAAGCATTTCATGTGATTCACACAAGGAGAAGCGTTTTTTCTTTCTCTACAGTACAAAGAAGGCAGTGGTTTTAATGGAGACATAGTGTTTCCTGTGAGGTACGAATTGATTTATTGAATACTATTTAGAGCCAACTCATAACTTCTGTCCTCTGCTCATAACATAGTCGACATCCTAAAACTACCTTTACACTTCCTAAAGATAGATCCTCTCTTAAACTTACCTCCACCAGGAGGACTAGCGGGCACTGCTTGGGAACCTTCAAAATCGGAGGAAAAATTCCTTACCGCGCCTTAAATGCAGTGTTTCTGACTGCCATGTCTCCCCACTTTCTCTTCTCTCTCTTTTATTCGTATTTGAACAAGGTTAATATCCTCCTTTTTATCAAGCGATACCATTGTAGGAAAATTCTGAAACAGTACCAGCTATTTGACTGTAGAATTCATTGTCTCATTACAGTGTGAGTGAAGATTTCATGTAGCATATTGATTTTGCCCAGTTGTAATAGGACAGCTACCAGCGGCTTCTCACGACGGAAGGACGTGAATGTGGGATTTATGGTGGATGAAGTGGTATTAGGAGAGCTTTCTATCCCAGTACATCAGCACTCCCATGACATTTAATATTAATCCATTATTACTTCCATCATTATGAAGGCAGCAGGTGAATACGGAACGTTACTATCTGTCGACAAAACTACACGGTGTCACACCCCAGAAGACGGTAATCCGCGCTCGTAAAGGATGTTAAATTCCAGAATACCGTTACGTAAAAAGTTTATATTCTTACTGGATTCAGAATATATGTAAGCAAATGGGATAGAGACAGATAAGGTTGACCTGGAGATCACGTGATCAGTCTTGAAATGAGAAGACGCTTGGCATCATAGTATTCAGTTTTGGTAATGAATGACATTACATAATTTTATATTGTCAAGCGTATTGGGTGTGACTATAGACAGGTTTTGGATTGATGATCGGGTTTATTGGACTCCTTGATACGCAATGCGTGACTGAACTTTACAGTTCACTATTAAACATACACACATACACACTGTAGTGCCCACAATCACGTCTTCACTGCCGTTGCTTAGTAGTGGTTTCTAACGGCGGACGTTCCCCTTCCCCCCTGGGTTCCCGAACTGTTCTCTGCCTCAGCTACTGTCTTCTAACGGCAAAAACTCACAACCGAATCAGAGAGGTTCTCTAACTGTAATTTCTAACTTGTCCTGCTTATAACATTTCGGCATGGACCGTGTAGAAAATACCTCTTCCCTCAGTTACCCCATCGTTGCTTTCGTGTCTGTTGGGGTGACCGCGTATCACTAGTGAGGCATCGTCTAGCAACGGCCGTTGTTTGGAGAGCCATCCCTAGTAGCGGCTGCCTCTGCTGACTTCACTATTCGGGCTTCCTGACATTTTCAGGTAGCGGCCTTGCAACGGCCTGATCTCCCGTCCCGGAGTCCTACCGACTGTGTGAAAGATCAAGGAACTGAAAAAGCGGCCAAGACCGAACAAAGAGCTATAGAGATGGACAGAGAAACAGTGGATCTTTATTCTGCGAACCACATGAAACAAATAAATTTTATTTACAAAGTACGGGGTTTTCTTAAGATTAAAGCCGGTGGTACATATGGTGATCACTGTTCTTTAAAGGGCTCAAACAGTTTAGTATTGTTGTGAAAGGAACCAAATTAAAGTTTAGTATGGTTTTGCTAAATTGAGCAACTGGGCAAGTTATTGTAGCGGCAACGCTCTAGACTTGTATTTCGAGATGCTGTTTTCGAATCTCGGCAGGGACATCGGCTGTCACGACTAATGAATTTCACGGTTTGTCTCAGTATCGCCGCGTAAATTCTCGTATACTGCTTCCATAAGGTTACGACAACTTTCTTCCATATCATTTCAAATTAATCACTCACCAACCATTCTGCCATTCGACGTCATGCAGTCTTGAGATACTGGCAACGTCGCAATATAACCCCCACCTCCTACCCACACAAAAGCAATTGCGCAAGTACAGAGCCGTTTCTCCATGGGACTAGCAGCAAAAGGGTGGGGCACGGAAACATATCACGTGTAAGTCCACTGAGGACAGAGGTGCAGGTTTTTATTGCTTTTTCTGTAGATGTTATTGAAACATGTGTTTCATGGAAGCGAACGAACAACATTTTACTGTACAAGTTTCGGAATGTGCAACAAATCCCGTGCTCCATAGAAATGCTGGTTTGAGATCTCGGCTGGGCTCCAAAATGTAGACAGGAACTCGGATGTGCGGAACTGAATGAGCCACCAAACTCCGTGCGCAGTGAAAATCAATAATGTCTTCCAGTGAGATCCATGTAAAAGCAGCCTACACTGCCTCTTCGTTTTCACGGAACAAATAAAAATATTCTCGGACTCAGATTTGGCACGTCACGCAAACCGTTAATTGCCGATCACAGCGGCCATGCGGCTTAAGGCAGGAACTGTCTTCGCTCGCTCGAACGCTGGGTTCGTGGGTTCGAATCCCACTCGAGGCATGGATGTCTGTGTGTGCGTTTATTCTGTGTTTGTGTTGTTCTTTGTGTAGGTCGGGGCCTTGCGTCGGGCTGATCCCCCTTCCAAGAACCCCTACCGACTGTATATATTAAGAAACTGGAAAAGCGGCTGAAGTCTACAAAGGCTGCAGAGCCATAGATAGATAGATAGAGAGATAGATAGATAGACCGTTAATTGATTTTGTAAGGTAAATGTAAAGTTGTCCCTGTGCTTAATTAAGCACAACGCTATGAAGACATATATATAAGGCAGTTAAGGTGTAGCTCCAACATCCTTGACCTCGGCACTAGTTATAAGTGAGTGGTCAGCTTCACGTCCCTGCCGCTTTACCCCATGGAAAAGAGCCCCTCCCGGTATCCATTGGATAGTAGGCTGGGTGTGCCCCCGATTAGATCTGAACGATGTGCAGAAGAAAAAATATTGTTCTTTCCGGGAATTGAACCCGGGTCGCCCATCCTGTAGACCGTCGTTTTACTAACCTGCTTCCCCCAGATCTTCATCAGCTTTTTATATTACTGACGGACCCACAGAGCATCACAAATGATGCCATATCTATTGAAATAACGCATCGTTTAAACAACTGTACTGTCTGAAATCATTCTGAAGGCACGTTATCGTTAGAAATGACGTAAATGATTATATTATTCATTCATAAACTGCGCGGCTACTGTGATCAGCAGATGAGTTCATCGCCATTACAAAGTTGTTAGATTCTCAACATAAGGTGGTGGACTAAGGTCATCATACAGGAGACTTTGCTGAACACAGGACTTCTCTTCCGTAAGGTTGCCCACTGGAGGTGTGACGTGTGCTCAAGAGATGTTCTAGACAGACACAACCATGATGCTCATTATTGCTCATTATTGAGGAGTACAATGCTCTGGGATGTGACACCGTGTTACTGCTTGCTTCTTAGTGTTTCCTGCTTCGTAAGTGTTCCGTAAATCACGAATATAAAGGCCATAGATTCTACAAGATTACACGGAGTAAGATCTCAGAATGGCCATAGCTCAAGCGGTTAGTCGCTGGCTTCCCACCGCGGCGGCCCAGGTTCGATCCCGGGTATATTCAAGTGGGATTTGTGCTGGACAAAGTGGCGCTGAGGCAGGTTTTCTTCGAGTACTTCGGTTTCCCCTGCCAATCTTCATTCCACCAGTTGCTCCACAGTCACCCTCACCTTTCATCTGGGGATGGTACAATAGGCCAGAAGTGGCTGCAGAACAAGGGACTTAGTCCCACCCTACTAGCATTAAAAAATCTTATAATACATACTGCTCTGATTACCTCATGCCTAATATGCAGAGTTATCCTAAATTATTTCGGGGTTTCGGTGGCCTATAATTTTCAAACCGAAAACAAAATAAAACCGCCTACTGAATATGAGAATGTAGCTCAAATATTGTTTACTTGACAGTGATGTACTCGCCGCATATGGCGTTTCAGCAAAATGGTACACTCCGCATTTAACTCGTGTTGTCCGAGGATTTCTTGACATGAATTTTTCTGGGCACTGGGTTGGGCGTGATGGATCCGTGGCCTCCACGCTCACCCGATATTACGCCGCTGAATTTCTTCCTGTGTGGAAACGTTAAGGACTTTATTTACAAGACCTCTATAGCCTCCCTCGATGAGCTGAAGCTCAGAATTTTTGCTGCGATCGAAACAGTTACACTTCAAATGCTGGAGAAAACTTGGACATCTCACGTGTCACGAAAGGTGCGCATGTTGAGGTTGTTTAGCATTCTGCAGTATTGATTCTACGGAGAATAAAATGTTTCGAGTTACAATTTTATATTCCTTAAGCAGTTTTATTTTTTTTTCCATTTTGAAAATTACAGGCTACGAAAACACCAACATTAATTTAGAATCGCCCTATATTACTAATTTTGTGTTTTCAACCCAAAACAATGAGACCATTGAACACTGTGAGAGATTTCAAATAATGGACATTTTAATATTCTAGTTTTGTGTCACCCAAAAACACTTACATGACTTATGAAAAATGTACTACAAATTCTTACCTTAATTGTGGTCAGCTTTGCAAGATGTTAACTGATCTTTGGTCAGACGTGTCTCTAGTTGTTGGCAGCACTGACTGCGAGAACTTATTTTGTTGTCTGTCTTGTTCTGTTAATATCAATTGATGGGGATATATCTCACACACACAAGAACACAACAAAACATGACGTCGACGTTTGTTCCACGTAGTTTACAACACCTTAGAAACACCAAACGAATTTTTCATATCTTAAACTAACACATTTCTTATCTTCTTTTGTATCAGTTCCTTTCCTGGAGGCTCCAACTAAGCAGTGACATTTCTACAACCATTGTGACGTTTATTTCCCAGCGTTTTTATATGGGTTATTACTATTTTTTAATTTTCATTCTTTGAGAAATATATCTGTAGAAAGTAATTGAAATGAGTCTTAGTCTATGTCTGTCAAAAGTAACTTCATTTCCGTTTATTTTGCTTCACTTCTGGTTTGATTCACTTATATTCTGATGTTCTGAATTCTTAGTAATAATTTCAAATGAACCAGAAAATTGCTGAGCCAGTTCGTAACAACATGAACAGATCTTCTTTTGTTATTTATGTATAAAAATTTTTCTCACAAATTTCTGAGAAATACACAACTTTTCATGAAGTTTAACACAATAACTTCCAGTACTGATTATTACAGGGAGCATGACGTTTTGTGATACGTGACGAGAATTGAAGGGTCCATGTGTTAACGTTACTATGTTACATTAGCAGAGAGGAAATGGCGCAGTTCCCACCCTCCTCCAAATATTATTTCACACTTTATTAGCTAGTATAACAAAGTACGTACTTGCTAATTTAGTGTTTTATTATACCATTATTCCTGAGTGTCTATTTGTGACATTGAGAAATACACAGAAACTTATACCTCAACACGTTACAAAGAACTACACATCAAACACTGTCTCAGCATACACGTGAGTCATACGGAGACATAAAGTTTGCAATAACATCGATACAAACACTTTTATCAACATTTTATTTGGAAATCTAGAGTAGGTTTTACTAATTTTATGCAAAAAAGGGATTGTTTCTCCGAATGTAAATGGTACAATTTTTACTTATGGCCGGAGAGGGAATGCTGAAAAAATGATTTTTTTTTGTGTGTGTACAGTTGTATGTCTCGTGTACACATCTCTTTGTATAGTTGTGGCAGTTTTAAGAGCTTCCTATTCTACTGAGTTCTTTTGACTTTCAATTGTTATTCTCTCTTTTCGGAAGGGGGGAGGGCGGGATTCATTAAACGGTGGAGAGGTGAAACAAATTCACTGCCTTTCTTCCATACAGAAAACCCCAGTTTTTAAAACTTGAGCAAAATAATTGAAGGTCGTAAGTTTATTAGAAGGAAAGTAACTTACACACTTTTTTACTTTGTGCTCCACATCAAACCAAGCGAGCAGATCTAACGAGAATTTAAAGTAAAGAATTTTGATCTTCTATAAATTTTGAGATTTTCACGGAAATGACTGATTATTGATTTTCGGGTTGTGATTTGGTGTAGTCTTGCGGGCGGATAAGGACATATCGGAGGAACACGCTGTCTCTATCTTCAGTGTTAAAACGTGTAGGATGTTGAATCTGGCCCGTTGTAGAGGCAGGTTCCAAGGAAGTAATGATTTTGGCCCACGAGATGGGAGGTCTCAATTCCAGTCCGCCCTTTTGTCGGAAAACATAGTGTGCGTCTAAAAAGGAACCTTTTCCCATCCACCATTCCCATTTGCATAGACTGGGACCCTGTTTCTACAACCCTGCCATGGGTCCTGTTGCTGTCAGGATGTATAAACCCAGCAGGTTCCTTGCATTACACACATAAACCCTGAAGATGGAAGCAGAATATTCTTCCAAAAAGTAGGTATCCGCTCATAAGACTGTACTGTATCACAGTCTAGAAGACCATCTGAAGCTTTGATCGTTACATAACCGAAAACTGCATAATACACTTTAGAACTTTATGACAGGGGAAGTTATTATCCAAAACCGGGCATCGAAATGTGACTAAGTGTGAAGAAAGCATGAGGATGTCAAAAAAAATAGGTCTCTTGTATTTCTGCTATGTTTAATTTCGTTTTTATTTCTATAAGCCCCTATGGTTGTAAATGATCCACGTATAAAATATGTGCTATATTTCAGTGACGTAATCAAATGTTTCGTCATATCCTCTCTGTTCATGTCCTCATTTCCGTTTTGAGGCAGCGACGTCTGAGCGTCCTATATGTACGCGACGCGATGTTCGTTTGTAGAAAACTTTGTGTTTTGGTGTTTACAGTGATTGTGAATTCATTTCCACCACAGCAGGGCAGGTGTTGCATAAAATAACTGTACAATTAAAACCCAAAATCTCCACCACAATCCATTCCATAGTCCCCGTCATCAAAACCTAAATCACCATAATCATCATGCACATAGGTCAACTCGTTATTGGTTGCCGTTGTGTTTGCAGTGATTTCATTGTTAATGACGGTGTTGTTGACGTCATAATGATTGTTGATGTGTATGTCGGTGTCATTATGGTAGAAGCCTCCACCGTGCCCAAAGCCATAGCCGCCGAGGCCCCATCCCCAGCCGTGGCCCCAGTTACTGAGCGCTGCGCCCATCACGACCCCTGTAGTGAAGTCTCCCGCACCACATCCGTGATGGTCTCTTACTACGATCGTCGTGTTGTTGCTTGGAGGCTGCAGGGGTTGTATGGGTGGCCGTGCGTACCCGTTCTGTGGAAAAGCTCCGCTTGAAGACTGCATGTGGTTATTGGTGTTCGTGTATGACGGAGGAACCTCACCCGGCATCGACGCTGCAACACAAGGAACATATAATGACATCCTGTGAGATCGGAAGCCGACGGCGCAGACTGTGAAGAGTCATATCTCCTGACATCCCTTTCTATTAGCCTACTTTCCATATTTAGGGAGCCGGGATAGCGTAATCAGTATAGCGACTGGCCGGAATAACGAGGCGTGGGTGTTCGAGTCACGTTAGAAGTAAGATTTTTCCCTTCTCCACTCCGTCCAGACCGGTTCTGGGGTCCACCCAGCCTTCTATTCAATGGATACCGTGGGCTCTTTCCCCGGGGGTAAAGCGTGAAGGTGGCCACTCACCTCTAACTAGTGCCGAAGACAAGAACATGTGGATTTATACATACACTCCCCCATACGCCTTTATGACGTAGTGCTGAATTAGTTAAGCACAAGGACAAAGTTACCTTTTCATACTTTTTACTTTACTTATTTGGAAACAAGAAGTTCTAGGAAGAACCAATCGTCTGCTTTCCCTTGATACCACACGGATTGCATAGAAAACGACGCTTCCTACAATGTTGCTGTTGTTGCTTGTGTATTAGTTACCGCGGTAAAATTATTACCGAGCTGTTGCCTAGTAGCAGACACACAGAGAAACAGATTTATGGCAGAGACTTATGAAATACGCAGTTGAGATGGGCTGAGGTGCCATGATAGACATATTAGGTTTCATAAAGATTGTTTCAGCCGGTCACGGTAGCCGAGCGGTATAAGGCATGCACTGTCTTCGCTCGCTCGGAAGCCGGGATCGTGGGTTTGAATCCCACTCAGGGCATGGATATTTGTGTGCGTTTTTCTGTGTTTGTGTACAAGTAGAGGCCTTGCGATGAGCTGATCACCCGCCCAAGGAGTCCTACCGTATGTGTAAGATCTAGAAAAACCGAAGTGAACGGAGAAGTTCATGGAGGTAGGCCTAGGCCCACTGGGGCTGTAGTGCCAAGGAAAAAAAAAGATTGTTTCAGGCATTCAAAAGTTGGTAAGGGAGGGTACACAGATACACAGATAGCAAGGTGATCTCATAAGAGTACTTTTATTTTTATAAACGAGGTAAGTAGGCCAAACATAAAGCTTATGAAATCACCTTGCTGTCTAACGTTGACAGGCAACCTCTCGGTAAACACGTTCCTGCGACAACTAATACACATGCGTTGTTCTCAATGCATCCGTTAATTTATATTGTAGCATGTAGAATCGTTGCTATGCAACGACCGTCGGGATGGGCGGATATGCCAGGGCCGTTTCTGGGCAACGGCACGGTAAACACGTTCCCTTTGCTAGGCAGCAGATTCTTAATAATGTAACAGTTGAACTATAACAATGGAAGAGATGCATTTTATATATGGTACGTGCCAAGATGTCATAAGAAGGGGACAAGGTTGTTTGATAATTCAGTACGGGAGTATGTGAAGAGAAAACTTGAGCCGAAGGCAGAGGAACAGACATTGTTGGAGCCGTTACCAGGAATCGTCCAGTAACAGGCTAAGAACACTTAGTGAACTGTAAAATATGAAAATAGCGATAGTGTTTAAACTTATTTGTAGTTACGACCTGTAAGTGTTCAATAAATTCATTCACCAGTTCAACCATAGTCACATATGAACGTGACGATATTTTTAGTGTTTTAATTATTTCTATATCTCTGCAGAATATTATTGTGGCCTCAACCACACGGAGTTCTTAACTTTCTGTGTACAGAGTGAACTGTGAGCTGGGGTGTGACACTAAGCCTCCCCTGTCCGGCGAAGCAGATGACGTAGCGACTCAGTCTTGTTCTTGGAGTAGCGATATGGCACAAACGGTTCGTCGGAAAGGAACTCAAGTGAAGGTTCTGAAATTCGTATTGATCTTTTATGTAACTTCCGTGGGAGTGAAAAATCAGGTCATGTTTAAAAATGTTGTAGTTTCGCATGGGTATAAAACTTGATGTCTGACATTAAAGAAGGAACTTGGTGCTGAGACGAATATTTGGACCAACGAGGGGTGAAATATGAAGCTGAAGAAAAGTGCACAGTGAGGTTCTTCGTAACTTGTACGCTTTGCCAAATATAATTGAAAAGATCTAGACAAGAGAGATGAAACTGGCAGGACATGTAGCACGTATGGGTTGAAGATGAATGCCTACAGGGTTTTAGTGGGAAAACTAGAAGAAAAGAGACCACAAGGAAGACGTAGAACTGGAGGATATTATTAAAATTGATCTTAGAGAAATAGAACGGTTTCCCCTGCCAATCTTCATTCCACAAATTGCTCCATAATCAACCTCACCTATCATCTGGGGCTGGTACAATAGACCAGAAGTGGCCGCAGTACAAGGGACTTAGTCCCACCGCACTAGCAATAAAAAAATAGATAAATAGAATGCGGTTTTATTGACTGGATTTTTCTGGCTTAGGATAGGGACCAGTGGCCGGCTCTTGAACACGCAATGAAACTTTGGGTTCTATATTTTTTTTTTAAATTCTTGATTAGCTGAGCAACTGGTGGGTTCTCAAGAAGGACTCAGTCCCACAGATATAGTTATTTAAAAAGTGTAACTGACCTTGATATCTCGTAAAATGAACAATATTCAAATATTTTATTTCATGCAACATATGTCCCAATTGAAACTATTAGAATTCCATGTGATGCTTCTCCTGATGCAGTAGATAGCAAGCAGTTTTTTTCGAGGCGATAATGTTAAGCGAGTTACTTTTTGTAGGCCCGTCATAAGTTTTGTAAGAGTGAGATTTATACCTGTCATTACTCAGTTTCCGATAGCCACAGGGGGCAATTGTCAAACGTTATAGTGTTGTATGAATGTGAGCTGTATAATAGGCCAAGTACGAGAGAGCAGTCTTTTGTTGCCTTGTTACATCTATATTGTGGGACTACCTATAATAATTTGATGTTGATATGTGAGGTGTGCTATATATAGTGTGTAAAGGTGACCGTTTGCGGCTGAATATTTGTGTTGTTCATAGCAGATGGCTTTAAAAGTCGGCTTTGAAGTTTCACTCGATAACATGCAGGACTGGAAAGGAATACGGACGAGAACAGGAGATACTTGAGACTTCCCGTTGAATTTTCAACGGGTGTTACACTCACTCACTCGCTCACTCACTCACTCACTCACTCACTCATGACGGTGAGCCCTTCTTGAGAAGCTACAAATTGTGCAAATACTCAAGAACTTTCCAGCGATTTATGGAAACCGAAGGTTCAATACCGTATTCACAAGAGCCTTTCATTGGTCCCCTTCCTGAGCCAGATCGATCCAGTCCACACCATCCAATTCTCTCTCTCTAAGATCCATTTTAATATTGTCCGCCTCCCACGTCTTTATCTTGCTGATGGCCTCTTTCCTCCTGGATATCCCACCAATATCCTATACGTATATGCATTCCTTCTCGCCCAATTCGTGCTACATTCCCGCTCATCTCGTCCTTCTTGACTTGATCATTCTAAGCATAAGTACTTGGCGAAGAGTACAAGTTATGGAGCTTATTATGCAGTTTTCTCCAACCTCCCGTCACTTCAGCTCTTTTCGGTCCAAATATTCTTAACACCCTGTTCTCAAACACCCTCAGTCAATGTTCCTCCCTTAATGTGAGAGACCAAGTTTCACACCCATACAGATACACAGGAAAAATTATAGTTTTGTGTATTTTAATTTGTATGTTTTTAGACAGCATACGGGAAGACAAAAGGTTCTGGACTGAATGGTAGCATTACCTGAATTCAGTCCCTTACCTGCTTACTCATGGAGCTGAGCCCTTCTTGAGGAGCCGCTAATTTTGCAGCTACTCAAGAATTTCCCATCATTTTATGGAACCCGAAGGTTCATTATCATGTTCACAAGAGTCCTTCACTGGTTCGTATCCTGAGCCAGATAAATCCAATCCATCCCATCCCATCCTATCTCTCTAAGATCCATTTTAATATTGTCCACCCACCTAAGCCTCCATTTCCTTTAGCTTAGGTCGTTTATCCAGAGGATCCGTCCAGGTCCGAAGCTTTGTGTACATTTTCATAACAGGCTTATTTTTTACGGTGAGAAGTTGTTAGCCCCACGCCCAACCCCAAAGCTGGGGGACCACCCCTTGACGGCTGTCCGCGACTGCTTATTCAATATATTCGCAGCTTCCCTCCATACCTGGAGGCCGTCTCCTCCATCCGCAACCTGAGGACGCGCCGTGCCGTGGTGACAAGGGACCCACCTCCCTAGATAGTTCATATATCAGTTTCCGTATATCTACACATAGCTTTTTATATGTGATTAGTTAGAACAAGGGACTCAGTCTTTGTTTTGTTCGGCTTCCCAAGCAAAATGTAGGCCTATCTGAAATCCATTGTACACTTAACGACTTTCTGCACAGCATGGGAACACAGTAAATGAATATATGAACTTTGATTTGTTCCCGAGCTTTGCTTGGCTGCTAATGGAAGTGCAAACGAAACTCTTAGCATTAAAGAGGTTTCCCCCACTGAAGCGTATTATTCTCTTTCTCCTTTGAAACACGAGTCGTCTTCAAAATGAACCGTGATTCGTGGAATATCGACTGTAAAAGAAAAGTTAATTAGCATTGCAAGAGATGAATTCGACATATGACCTCATTTCATCTGAGAAGGTTTGCCATGAAATTAAATTATTAAATGTTAGAAGCCTTTGCATTTGTGCTATCATCTGTTGGAGCTCAGCATATGAAACAGGAATTCGTTTCTGGATTTTTTTTTTAATGTTCTTTGTAAAAATCACAGTTGAGTGATCGGTAATGACATAGTTAATACAAGCATCTTATTCTAATAAAAGAAGAATAATCATTCTTTGAAGAATTGAATGTGCTGCCATCTTACGGCACTTAATCGTTTGAAACGCCGCGCCCTAGCTCAAGCAGTTAGTCGCTGGCTTCCCACCGCGGTGGCCCGGGTTCGATCCCGGGTCTGGTCAAGTGGGATATGTGGTGGACAAAGTGGCGCTGGGGCGGATTTTCTCCGAGTACTTAGGCTTCCCTTGCCA